ATGAGTAGGAGCTGGAGCTGATCAACAGCTCACATGAGTAGGAGCTGGAGCTGGTTAACAGCTCACATGAGTAGGAGCTGGAGCTGGTTAACAGTTCACATGAGTAGGAGCTGGAGCTGGTTAACAGTTCACATGAGTAGGAGCTGGAGCTGATCAACAGCTCACATGAGTAGGAGCTGGAGCTGGTTAACAGCTCTTTACTACATTTACTCACAGTTCACGAGCTTGAACTGTCACACCCCTAGTACAGTGCAAAAAATCGAAAATGGCTCAAATTTGTTTTTCTAGAATTTTCGCGCTACATAGTAGTATATAAGTTTCAAACTATTTTTCTTCTTAGTCAGCGTCAAAAACTGAATGAGAAAACGTGGTCTGATAAAGTTTAAAGTTAAAGGACTGTCCAGCACGGACCTCTCAAAACCAGTACTCTCAAATGGCGGCACAGAATTTTGTAAACCTGTCTATTTTTTATATCAAGGACTACAGTCCTCGTTTGCATATCGCTAGATTAGCTGAAACCTCGCTTTAAAAGTACGACTAACTTCTTTTAAAATTTTATTTCTTTACTAGCAAAATTCATTTTTTCTAAATAAGAGGCGAAAACGTCGAAATTCTGCCCGTAGTTCTCAATTTCCTCCACCAAAACTCAACTTCTGAGCAATAAAAATATAATATTCGAAATCAGGAACAAACACTAAGCTGCCTGATTTGTATTTCGAAATTTTTAGTTGATTTTCAGTTTTTGATGAAAATCCCAGTTTTTTCAACGTGAAAATTCAAAAAAAATGAAAGTAGCCGGATAGGATAGAAACGCATATTAATCCATTCACGAGGGAACCTTGCCAGGTGATACTTCGACTTTGAATCGAAAGTACCATGGGTAGATAGGTACTCGTATGAATGCGAAACAATACGCCGTTTCCGATCGTTTCTCTTTTAAAGATCATGAGCATTAGGCCACTCAGTCTTTGATCCGGATTTCGAACATGATATTTTTACTGCTCAGAAAATGAGCTATGCTAGAAAATTGAGAATTACGGGCAGAATTCCGACTATTTCGCCTCTTATTTAGAAAAACTGAATTTTTTCAGCAACGAAACGGACGCTGATTTTTGTATTATATTATTCCGAATTTCGGAATGAACGATTTTCGGAATAACCGAGTTCCCAAATAAAGGATTAAGGGAATTTCAGGGTAAACCAATACAGAGAATTCACGAATAAACGGATTCCGGAATTCTCCCTTGAACGAATGAGCTAAATCGCGAATAAACGAATTCCAAAATATTCGAACGAATATAGCGAATTCCGAAATAAGCGTGCATTTTCCAAGTTATGCTCCACTCCGTATAAAACGCTACGGAGTACAAGTATATCCGATACGACGTCCGAACCACTGAACATTTTGACCATTCATACTTCAGTCTTTTGAACTATGACTTTGTTTTACAAGACTTTTGTTTGTTGTTCGGTCTTTTCGAAAGGACAATACATATGTTAATATATTTCTTTAGATGATTCGGTAATTGAAAGCGATTCAAGTGTGGAGAACGGTGAACCATTATTTACCGAGTCAATGTCTTCCGATGCATATGAAAAAATGACGGTTATTGATGACGGGCAGCAGGTTCTTGTCGATATCTGATAGTCTGGGTCAATTTATTACTTTGTTCAGATAATGCAGTTGCTGCCACAGATAATAACGGTGACTCAAAAGTTGGACACAAAGCTGCGTGTATCACCATAAGCACAAGTGATGAGAGTGAGATTAACATGAGTACAGAAGTTGATACGCTTGTACACTCGACTGCTGATGTTTGGCTGCACACTGAAAGTGTCTGTTTGCTTTTTGATGTGCTGAGCGTTACATTGGTATGTATATGTATATACTGTTTTAGAGTTAATTGTACCCGAACAAAATGGTTTGTCATTATTAGCACCAACCAGTACCGTAACTAGTTTCACTGCAGCGAATCATGAATATCCTATGCTAAAGAATATTGCAGCTGAAACGACTGATATTGTTGGTGCTACTGTATCAAAACAAAGTTCAGGTTTGAAACGTTCTGCTGAAGAAAATGTTGTTTACTTGAAACATGCTGCTGTTATATTATATGTTATTACACTTGCATTCTTACCTTTTAGGTATTGATACATTTGAACAGAGAACAAGAAATAAAAGACATAACGATGATGGCAAGCTCAATGTACAACAACGAAAAAACGCGGCTGTAGTTCTAAAACACGAACAGCTGAATTTTGCTAGCACTATGTTTTTGGTTTCTTATGATTTTTGCTTATATATCCTCAAACAGTCACATATTCATAGTTCCTGAATTTTATATTTATGTTATTCTCATGGGTTTTGTATGTCAAGTACTTTCAAGTAGTTTATTCACGGAATACATATATCTTTCCATACCTCCAAAAACATGCCTGGAGGTGTCAAATTCAGCATATAATAGAGAATTCGCAATCGATCGTTACCTGACCTAGATGGTGACCTAAACTCGTCAGAAAATAACCGAGAATTCGGAAACGCGTCATATACACCAATAAGCATTGTTATCAATTCCCAGCGAATGCAAATTCATTTTTTAAAAAATACAATTCTCAGCGAATGTGTATTTTGCAAGCTATGCGAGTTCCCGAGTAGTCCACTTGCCAAACTTTCGAATCAACGAATAAGAGAATTCCAAATAAGGATTTAAAGCGAATTCCAAAATAAATGATTTTCCGAATAACCGACTTGTGAAATTCTGGATTCTGGATGCAGTGAATTCCCGAAATTGCAGTTGAGCGAATTTCTGAGTAAACGTCTGCTGGTACGAACGAATGTAGCAAATTCCTGAATAAGCGAACTTCCGGCTACAAGAATATAGCGAGTTTCTGAGTGGTCGACTTGCCAAATCAACGAATAGGAGAATTCTCGAATACGTGTTTAAAGCGAATTCCGCAATAAAGAATTTTCCGAACAAGCGACAAAGGGTTGCAGTGAATTCCCGATTAAACGGATGCGCGAATAAACCGATACGGGAACTCCTGAAAACCTTCTGGGGTATCGAGTATACAGGATACGAAGAAGCACTTTTCAGCAACTCGAAACTAACTTTGTTTTTTTTCGGTGATATAAAGGTTATATCAACCGTCGAAAGTTTAGGATGATATTTTTTTAAAAATTGTTAAGTAAATACATTATATATATGTATTTAAATAGAATTCGAAATATATTTCGTATCAATGATTTATAAATACTAGCAGTAGAGAGGAAAAGACGTCACCTTTTGTACTTTAAGCAATCATTAAGAGTTTTCAATTGTTAAAATGGAATTAAAATACTTTACCAAATATTTTACTCTGCATTATTAAACTTATTCTAACAGGATTGACGCCGAGAGTAGTTCAGAGCCGAAAATCGTACAGCGTTTTTTCTTTACTAATATCTGAAATATTCAACACAATTTCTAACATAGTTCCAAAACAGTATACATCGAGCGCAAATACTGTCTAATCAGTCTTAATCCAACTGAAAATCATTTTGATAAACATATTAACATCTGGATAAATCCTATCATTTTCAACAATATATTATTAGTAATCATTTAGTATTGAGCATGGTTTAATGAATACAATAGCATACTTAAGAAAAAAGGTAACCATATATTAATATATACATATCAAGATGTTTTTGCTAATTTTTTAACCCGTTCATCATGTGTACGTATTAACTTTCTGTATTTTTCTGATTTTAAAAATTTTCCCCATATTCTTTTTGAATTTCCTCATCATAACTTCTTAATTCGATTACTAGTGGATGACGTTGATGATTTCCCACACTTTTCAAATCTATTTCTTTTAATTGATTATTTGTCTCTTTCGTATCACAATTAATTATCCATTGATCATTGACCTCTGCTGAACAGAATATAACACTTCTAGTCACATATTCTAACGAGAGAATTTTTCGACTAATACCAATGTGACCACTCACCTGTCATATTTGATATAGTACATCGAGTAATTGTTTATAATTCAAATTTAGATCATTTGGCATTGATTTAACTTATTAAAAATATATGACCAAACTAAAGAGTCCGAATTTCAAGAATTATCACCTCACAGTGAGCATTTTTCCATAGCGCAGGCGGACATCTCGCTTTTTTTAGATAAAAAATGATTATTTTTGCATCCTATTATCCGTGAGATATTAATGAAAGTAAATAATTCGAATTTCAAAAAAAAATTTTCAAAAGAACATTTAGGAAGTCGATTGCACTGGTAACGATCGCTTTATTCAGAACAAACAATCAACGTTTTCAAAAACGCGCTAATTAGTACCTAGTATTCTTTGCCAATTTTCGAACAAGGAACATTCTTAGGAAAAACATTTTTCATCATTAAATCAGTCGTTAGCCAAAATTTATATGACGGTATTCAAATCTCAAAAAAGCGCACTTACGATTTTGAACCAAACCTCCGCCCATATGCCCACTGTGTGCCACGAAATTTTGTGGAACTATGCAAATTGTATTGAAGAAAATATGCACCTTCGATCTTTATAGGTCCATTCTTAATCTGTAGTGTCTTCCTACAGACTCCGTCAAGCAGGAAGTGCAAAATTGAGACGAATGCTTGAAAAGTAAGAGGAGATTAATATATTTTATAGAGTTTTTGACTTTAAACAAAAGACAAATAATTTGCCACCCCTCACAGGAAAGTAGTACAAATTTGAAGCTACACTGAAAGAATCTTTCTTTCTCAACCATACACAGCCTAACTTTACTGGAGAGACCATGGCCGTGTTCTGAACAACACAAGTTAAATTTCGAGGTTGAACAAATATATCCTTTATCACTGAACGTTTGTTTACTCGCATACGGTGCAACTTTTACCGATCGATGCATGAAGAAAACTTTGCAAATGCTCAGCTGCTCGTTGCAATACGATTGCAGCTGAATAGAATGGAAACGAAAGGAACACGTACTTGAAATTTATTGGATATACAACGTCACTCACTACGTGCACAAATTAACAGCAAAAACAAAAGACTCAATTTTCTGATCAAATTTAGTGTTACCAAGTCTGTCAACTTTGCCTTAGTGCAATGTGGTTCTTCGATTTGACAATGTCAGTCACTGATAGGTTTACGTTCAGTGTTGCTGCTGCAGGATGTACAATATTCGATTTTGAGAAACAGCAGTAGCAGCTGGAGAGCATTTTCAAGAGAATGCAAACGACTTCTTTTCGAAAACTTCGATTAGTAACTGTGGCGTTGCAATTTAATCAATTGATAAAAGAACCTGAATGTGTTCCATCAAAAGTAATACGTTTGTTCTTGAATGATCAGCCATGGTTTACGCAGAATTTGAGATTTTTATATAGAAAGAAAAAACATTTATACAGAAAATGTAGGTCAAGTTCTTCTTTTTCACTACAAGAAAAATATAAACAAGCATGCAATGACTTTGAGAGAGAATGCAAAAGCGAAAAAGAAAAATATCTAGAGCGTATTCGTAAAACGAATGCATCAAATAAATCATGGTGGAAACTAGTCAGGTCAATTTTTAAACGTTCACGAATATAACTGTTGTAAAAGATGAAAGAGGAGCAGACTGCTTTGACGACTACGGAAAAGCTAGTATTATGAACAGGCATTTTTCAAATATATGTAGTATGAATCCTAATGAGTATAACAAATTCATTCCGAAAAACAAAACTCTTGTGCATGCTCCTATTCTACAAATTTTCACATTTTCTATTTAAGAGGTTGAGAAATGTTTAAGTAAGGTAAATCCGAATAAAGCCACTGGCGAAGGTATACCTTCAAAAATTTTACATGAGGCAGGTCCAGTTATAGCTAACGATTTCATGCATATTTGTAATTATTCTCTTGTTAATGGAGTTTTTCCTGACAGTCGGAAAATAGGTGTTATACATCCTATCTTCAAGGACGGTGATAGCACTCTTCCAACTAATTATAGGTCTATTAGTTTACTACCGGCATTGTCTAAGGTTTTTGAGAGGTTAGTATTCAATAAATTATAGGGTAGCGCTATTGGCACTCTCTGAGAGTGTCAACAAGAGCTATTGCCACTCTCTGAGAGTGTCAACAAGGGCTATTGCCACTCTCTGAGAGTGTCAACAAGGGCTATTGCCACTCTCTGAGAGTGTCAACAAGAGCTATTGCCACTCTCTGTGGGTGTCATAAGATTCACCTTTATTTAATAAGAATTAAAATTAAAAAGTTTTTATAAAAATAAAGTCGACGTTTCGAGAATTATAATTTTCATTATCAAGACAATAGAGACGATTTACACGATGTAAAGTTATAACGAATATGAGTGAATAAATAAAATCTGAGCACTGATTCATGCTGACCTCCACAACTTCAATAACCAGTTGTGCCTTAGGAAAAACAATCTTAGAACTTCAATGTTAAGAAATTCATAAAGTGTACTGGAACTTACGCCCAAAAGTAAAAATACGACGGCTCCTGTTGACACCCTCAGAGAGTGGCAATAGCCCTTGTTGACACTCTTAGAGAGTGGCAATAGCCCTTGTTGACACTCTCAGAGAGTGGCAATAGCCATTCCGTAAATTATATGAGCACGTTAAGAAAAATAATTTGATATAAGCTTTATTCTGTCAGAATACAAGCGGAAAATATTCCATTATAGTATTCTAAACTAAAACTATCGGAAAACACAAAATCAATTTTGTACGAATAGAGATTCGAACATGTGAACTTAGCTTTGTAGGTAAACTACTACAAAACTAAATTCACTGTTCTGTATCTATATTCTGTACAACGATTGAAGTTGTGTAATCGACTCGATGTTATCAGTAGTAATTTTTTTTTTTTGGTATGTTTTGTGTTTTGTTTTGTTTGTCCCCTCACCCTCACCCTCAAAAATAATTTATTAACACCGTTTCAGTCTGGTTTTGCGCAAGGCGATTCAGCGGTAAACCAGCTAGAAGATCTGATTTATGGAATTAGCGAGAATCTTGACAACGGTAATTTTACTGTTGCCATATTCCTTGACTATTCAAAAGCCTTTTATAAGGTCTGGCACGCTGCTCTGCTTTATAAATTGAAGAAAAAAGGAGTGTCACATGAGCTATTAAAATGGTTCTCTAGCTATTTAAGTAACA